AATATTAATTAAAAAAAATAACGGTAAGGTGGTAAACTACCTAACTAAAACAAGATAAGGTAAGATTTAATTTTTGTTGAGGGTATTTTTATTAAAAATTTACTAGAGTGGAGAGGGAGAAGACCATTCTTGACTTTTCAACACATTCCTTTTCATTTTTTTTATTTTTAATATTTATACGTGTTAAATTATGTATTGCTAAAACTCTTTCTTTCAAACCTGTTGGAGGGATAGTGTTCTCTTCAGGTAAAATTGTAGATCCTGTTTTCTGGATTTCATTTTTTGAATATAAATGCTTATTTCTTTTTTCTTTTAAAGAAAACCAAAATCGTTTGATCCAGCCTAAGTTTAAATTGTGATGTGAATATAAAATGAAACTCCATTAATTATCCACATTTATGTGGTCTGAGGAGAATTTTCATTAGTACTATAGTAAATTAAAGTATATCAATAAACGCTAGAAACTAATTTTTTTTATACTGAAATTAGTTTAAAACAAATGTTAAAATAGTCTTATACTTATTAATTACTAATTAGCCTTGTTTTACCCGCATAACCAGAAACACGTTATACTAGAAAAAGAAAAAGAAAAAGAAACCATTAAGTGCGAGTCACGTGTAAGATTTCAATACAGAATAGATAAGGTTCAGCATTTTGCATAACTTCACTTTCTTTTTCTTTTCTAATAATAATAGACTTTATATGAATAATGCAAATCAAGCTGAAACTTCTCATAAAACTTGTTTATATACACTACACTTCTCATAAAACTTCTCCGAACAAACACAAGCAAGTTGTTCCGGAGAACATTCATTCTAGGAAATAGCAATAACTTAATAAAGGACATCTCAATGGCATGATCCCTATTGTTTTTAGTTTAGAAAGGACAGTGAATTTCATATTCGACAAGATGGTTGAAATTGGTGGCAGGAATATTATCTGCCACTGGTTTTGGCTGAAGAGAACCTTTCTCATAATAATGGTAAGCAGCTGCACCAGACAACACTGCCAAAGTTAGCGCCTGAGCATGCATCCTGCGAAACCATATCATTCATTAATTACACTTACAATATTATTACAACATTATTCACATGTTTGTTATCATTAAGTTAAACTTTTCTGAGAAAGGTATATATGTACCTGGCATGGATAAGCCTGAGACTAGGCTTCAAAGGTGTCTTTTTGCATGAATAAGTCACAAGTGATGCTCCGATTCCAGATGCCCAGAGTGCTCCTGTAAGACCAATTTCTTTAAAGTTTGATAATCTTTTATATGAGATGAGATCATGCAATAAACTAGTTTTAAAGGTGAATTTTTTGGCATTTGTGTAAGTACTTACCAATGGTGGTGAGCTTGTGCTCTGAAACCCATGACTGAACTGCCTCCATGCTGTGTTTGATATGATGGTGGTGCTCTGTTCTTGATCTGGGAAGTGTGTCTGAGGAAGTATAGCAGTGAAGGTGATGAATGGTGTGAGGGGAAGGGAGAATATTTATAGAAGGGTGGGTGAGGGTGACGTTGAAATCTGTGACTTTGGTTTTGGTGCTTGGGTTGGCCCATGGGTTTTGTGGGGTTTTGGCTGTTTTATTGGAGATTGGAACGTGGAATTGAGTTAAACTGGAGGCTTATTTATGGTGGTTTTGTTCTGTGCATCCACTTTTTCCTCATTCTATTGATTTGCTTTATTACAATCATGTGGCATGCAGAGGGAGCCAACGGGTTTTGTTTTACCCGGATCAGTGGTGCTGATACAGAGGCTCCATGAAACCGCTTGTATCATCATCGCACTGCAACAATTCATGACAAACATTACTTAAGTAGAGATTATTGACAAAAACATGAACTATCACTTTTCTAAGCTGAAAGGAATTAATATTTTTTATTAATATTTTTTAAATACTCTTTAATGTTACTTATACCAAGAGATTTTTTAAGTAATTGTGTTTTTTTAGCTCCTGATGAGGATCGAAGGCCTATTGATAACGAGTTCTAAATTTATTAAAAAGCCTACGAAAATCACTTGACCGTTTAGTATAAAATATGTTTATTTAGAAACATATACTTTGAAAGATATATTGCGAGAATCAAAAAGCTTTATCGTAATTGGCAAAAGGACAGAGAGATCAGTTGTATTTTTTAGTAAGAGGTAAATTGATTGTCGTATGTAAAATATTTAAGATAGCTCTAATCGTTTAACAATTTAAAGTTTATTACTTTTTATTGGGAGAGAAGTAACTGATATTACGTTGTGTGATGTTATATGAATTTATTTCACTAGTTTTAAGTAATATTTTATGTCGTACCACATGTTTCCGCTGCATTTGAGACTGTTTTTTATTCCATGTTAATTAAATGCTTGTTAATTTTTTTCTACAAATTAAAAATCTTGATAACATATTTTTTAGAGATCAATGGTTCTTTAAGCCATACTTTATTTTTTTATCAATAATTTTTTAAAGTGATACCTTTTAGCACTTCTTTGATATTTTCTTTAATTTTTTAAAAATCGTAAGTACATTTTCTTAGTGGCGTTCCAGTGTTTTTTCGTGTTTTTTATTTTTTTAAATCATGTTTTCAAGTACTTTTTAATTTTTGAATCCCTTGTTACTTCTTTTCATATCTTTAATTTTATCTTAATATTTTTTTTGTTTTTTTTTTATTAATTTAAAAAATATTTAATGTTTTTATTTATATAAAATTGACTTACGCATTTGATTTTTAAACTAGTTTTAATCGTGCCTACGCACGGTTGATGGCTGCTTGTGTACTTATTTTATTAAAAGATATTTATTATAGAAGTTTGCGAATATATTTTATGTGGTTGAAAAAATATTTAATAGAAATAGAGAAATATTAATAATGGAAAAAAAAATTACTATAAAGATTGAAAGACATGTCATAATGATGATTCATGTATTGGAACATTTAAGATGATTGAAAACTATATTAACCTGCATATATTATGTGAATGTTAGTAAATGCCGAAAAAAAATCCAAGATAACAATAAAAAAATCATGATAGAGATTTGTGTATCATACTACTAAAAAATGAAATATTAAGAAGTGAATAAAAAATATTAAATTTATTCGAATTCCAATCATATTTTGAACTAGAATAATTTATTGTGTTTATTTCTCAAATTAAATAATTGAATTTATGTTAATTGGATAAAAAAAATATAAACAAATAGTTTGGTACTAAAATACCTAAATAATAAATTTGGTGTAAATGGATGAATTAGATAGTTGGAATTTTAGCTAGAAATTCTAATAGAATCATGACTAGTTTCTGTTTAATTTTAAAATCATGTTATCATCATCTTACAAAATTATTTAATTTTTTAAAAAATAAATAGCTTACTTCTTTTAACTTTAATATCAACCCATTTGTGACCAGATCCTTAACAACAATAAAAAAAATTTAGCACGATGAATCTTCTTATTCCATCTCTATATATAAATTAAAGAGTTGTATTGAATTATACTAAATATGTAACTTAAAACTTCACACAAAATTCTTATTATCAAAATATATTTAAGTCGTCTAATCTTAAACTCAAATAACAAACTTAATTTTACCAAATTTTAAATTCAACTTCCTTAAATCTATATACAATTTTGTTTTTCAATCAATGCGTTCACAAATACAGGACAATTAAAAAGTAAGTTATTAAACTAAAAAAGGACAACATATTTAAAATAAAATTAAAATTAATACACTTAAAGTTCAAAAATATGAAACAATTATATTTAGATTTTATGCATAGATAATCATTATCAATGGTAAGAAGATTAATATTTACACTCATATGATACGTATTATTTCCTTTGTGTCTGCGAATATTTAAATTTAAACTTATTTGATGAGTAAAATTTCTACCAATAAAAGCAACCAAAGAAGAAATCTATAAATGCTAAATAGTTTCGTTACATTTGTAATAAATTTAAGTATAATAAATGACGTACAATAGAACTTTAATTTCTGTTACAAAATAGTTATTGAATATTCATACGTGTAATGTCACCGCGATGTGATTTAAATACACATCGGTTAAAAGTATAAAGTATCATTAGTTTCTAAAAGTATGTAACTTTAGACACTCTTTAACATCAATTTAAATACTAAATTAATCCTTTAATATTTTTATCATTAGAAAATCATTTAATTAAATTATTCTTTACTAAAATATTTTATAAGGCTAAAAGAAGCATTGGATCAGGAAGACTAAACAAATATCTTAGTATTGCACTTCATGTGCTATTACTAGCTTTACAGGGTCCAATTACACTGTTCCAAATCTATAAATAAAATTTATCTCTAAAAGCTGCTTCGGAAAAGCACTTTTTTTTTTAAATCAATTGGAATATTTGCGCAAACATATTGAAGGTTTATTTTTATTTTTATACGCTTTTTGTCTTTTAAATGTGGTTACTTTTTATTTCTTAGTTTTAAAAAAACAAATACTGCTTTATTCAAATTTTCCTTTTCTATCATGTGATGCATATTAAAATTGAGACAAAACAAGCTAAAAGCGTATATATGGTCCATTAATTAATATAACCATTTTAGGAATTTATTATCGTTATGAGATCTGATGAGTAACATAAAATTAGTTTATGAAATTAAAGTAACTGAAATTTAATCTTTTAAATTAAAAAAATTATCTTTTTATTTTGAAATTATAAAAAATATTTAATTGCAAAATTTATTATATTGTGGTTTATTTTTTCTCTTAAATGTGCATAAAAATAAATAATTGATATCTAATATTTTTAGAATCAAAAGGATACATTATATGTGTGTGCTATATATATAACTAAAAAGAATACAACACAGCTTTTACATTGAATTGAAAAATTTCCAGACCCTTCTTCTTTGGATTAAACTTTACATGAAAATCAATTTGAACTCAAATAACTCCTATAGACACATTTAAAACGGTATTGAAAGATAATTCATGGAAACGGCATTAGCAAATGGTTGTTTTCCAACTGTCATTTCCCGCCATGAGAGAGAAGAATATAACAGCAAAAAGCACGAGAAGTGGGAGTGAGTGATTTTCACGCTCTCAGAAACTCAATCGTCGAAATGAAAAACGCTGATGGTAGGGAAAGAAAACGAAAGCCTCTTTCCGATCTCACCATTTCCAACCTCCTTCCATCATCTTCTTCCTCCTTCTCAATCGACGCCAGACGCGGTACTTTCATTTTTATGCAATCTCATACATTACCTTTGCATTTTTCCTTTGCGTCTAAATTTCACGTTGAACTTTTCTTACTCTGTATAATCAATCGTTTATGCTCTCGTAACCCGTGTTCCAATTTTGCATCGATTTTGGTCACGTCAACCCAATAATTATAGCTTAATACCAGTGTTAACCATATCTGTTCCTTACTTTTAGACGACACGGTGATTTCGTGCTTTGATTTCAGGTACTGTTGTTGGCCTTGATGTTTCTGAGCCAATTTCAGCATTCTGCACCCGAATACATACTTTGAATGAAAAGAAAAGGAATGCAAAAAAGGCAATAGCCAATTCAAAAATCTCCAAGATTCGGTAACTAGTAATACTATTATCTGTTTTAAGTCATGTTAGGTTCAATTTTACAATACGTAAGGGAACCGAGTGCAATTATTACTCTCTCGTCTTTTTTTCTATAATTACTCGTTTGTCATCCGAGTTTTTTTCCTTCCAAACAGGGACAAAAGTGATGAAGTAGAACTTGAAGGTTTGGGTCTACCTAAAGCTAGGATTTTAACAGTTTCTTGCAAGAAGGTATAGATTTTTAAAATACACTCTGTCTATGATGGTTCTGCAGATTTGTAGGGTATAGTTGAGTGTGGTGTAATTAATCGTCCTTGGATTAGTTTACATGAATGGTGAATTTTATATGGTTCTTAATGGATAATTTGCTCAACAAGTGTTTGATGATATCTGCTGAGTTTCCAGAAGAAGCGCGCTGTGTCGTATGAAGAAGATGTGTCCAAAGATGCCCAACTTCAAGATTATATTGAAAAACAGAATGCTTACTTTAAAGAGGTTGATCAATTTGAACTACCAGAAGAGGAGGTTGAATCTGTTCATGAACTGGATTAAGAGGAACGTAGAGCAGCAGTAGGACTCACAGCTTGAGACTCTTAATCCTTGTTTTGGTTATAATGAAAATGTGATGTAACCAGGTTAATGTATAGATGTGATACAGTAAGTTCATGACAGTCTTCCCAATTTTCAAATCAAAGAAAAGGTGTTTGACCCAAACCAATTATAATTAACATGTTAATTAGCCTTGGAATTTTTCTTTTCACTTTTGATAATTTCTCCTGGAAGATTTTTCAGTATTCTAACAATTCAAGAATTTGTGATTGGATATGACTTGCCTTTTTTTACATAGATGATTCTTCTGAGCTATAATATATACATATAGATCTTCTGGAATTTTAACTTGACAACTGTTTAATCTCATCTAGTTGCATTCCTGGATCAGTTATAGGATCGAAATACCGTATTTGAGTACAAACAAATTTATGGATTGGCATCGATGGCATTATTTTTACGTCACTTCTTCATGATCGTGGAAATTGCAGGTTCTACTGGTCGAATATGTTGTCAGGGAAAGTAGGAAGCTTAAAAAAGTCATATAAAATGAGGTAGTTTATTGATGATAAACCAGGTAGCTTGACAGCCAGAGAATACATAACTTTGGAAGGAAATCATTATACATGTATGTATGGGTACGCATTGTTGACTAATGTTAAGAGACTTTTCGGCAATTGATTCTGATCTGCCCCTCGCTTCCTGTTAGAGGCTTGATATTGCTCATTTTGACCATGCCCTTGGCGAAGGCTTTAAAGAAGGCAACTGTGTCAGTAGCGTATTTCTTCACCAGTTTACCGGTGGAACCGCCGTTGAGCAGCTCCTGGTCAGAATGAAGAAGGCCCCTTTTAGCCAGTATGTTTTTGAAGTATAGATTATCGAAATGGGTAGGAGTTCGAAGGTCAAGGGGTGCAAGTAAATCGTCATTTCCACTTATGGGGCACTTGCTTTGTAGGGACTTGGCAAAGGAGGCATCAATGTTGGAATCATTGAAGATATGGGCTCGGAATGTTAAACATCTGGCAAGACCAAGAGTATGCGCACCTGTTATTTAAGGTAGTCAAGTGAATTGAAGCATTTCTTAGGCATAGCATGTCAAAATCTTCTTCCAAGAAAAAACTTCTGAACAAAAAGAGCGGTCATTTTCTGGCAATAAGTAGGTAGAGCAAGCAAGCCTCTTAATTAACACTCACAACTTCTCTCATTCTATTTCAATCTAAAATAGCCTAGAAATTTTCTTGACAAAGCATTTATTTAGTACCCAACCTGGTCTTGATCAGACTTGATACATGTATAATTTAACGTGTTTAGCATATGGTACCTGAAAGAGCCACCAAGTTCTTCACAGAGAGCCCGTGGTTGGCGAAAATCGTTTTGAGATCGGTTAAATTGAGAAAGGGCGCAGGAATGGAGTTATTGGCATCAGCTCTGCTAGCTGTGATTGAATCCCTTCTCCCCAAGCCTACTTTCCACGATGGTCCCCCTAACTGTAAATTTCAACACATATTACCCCATCAATAGCAAATGTTTTCGGTTTTTATATTTTAAGGGTCTTAGTATTAATACTACTAGGACCGGTTATTACATAAACAACAGAGTCTCGAGCAGCCAGAGCGAGAATATCAGCGCAGGAAACAACCCGGGGGCATGATTTCTCCACCTTGGCTTTAATGTCATCGATCACGTCGAACCCTCTTGCTGAATTATTGTTAGGTGCTGCCGTTTTCTCTCCTATGAAATTGCTTGTATCATCCAACAGTATCGTCGCATCACAACCCTGATCATTGCGTTAAGTAACGCCAAATTAAGCAAAGGAGAAGACTACAGTGACCAGAAATTAATGTATATACTCACGTTTACAAAGCAGTCATGGAAATGCAATCTGAGTAAGGAAGCTCCTATGCGAGTTTCATCTTTAATGCCTTTTATGACTCCTTTTTTCACTATAGGCAACAGCTTTGGGCAGCTGCTAGTGTAGAAGTCCGGGGATAACTTCTTTTCGGCATCTGCTTCAGACACTGCTGTAACAGCTACAAGAACAAACAAAAGAAAATAGTAAGAAGCCATCTAAACTTTCGGAGTACACATAAACCCAATAATTTGTGTCTTCGCTTCTAATAGCAACATGTAGGATAAAATTGGTCACATGAAAGTAAAATTACTTCTAGCTTTTCCTTTCATGTTAAAGCTGATGTATGTTATGTACGTAACTTCCTTTTTCTTTTCGGCCATGATTAAAGGAATGGGTTCCTTGCAGTAAAAGAGTCATGTACACAATCCTTATCCTTATTTTTTTTCATATATTACTCAAGTAAATATAATATGAAAAAAAATGGATTAGATTTTGAAGGTAGGATCTGTGGCTTCAGACAATGGTTAACTAGATTAATTTCGAAGGTTTGGTTTCCATTGTTTTTTCTGAAATGATAAGAAACAGTAACATGTATTTTAACCATAGTCAAAAGCCCCGGTATACACCCACCATTAAGTTGATGGAATAAAGTTTAGAAACAGTAAGTTTATTTTTTGACCAAAAAGTTTAGAAATGGTAACGTTAGAAAAATATATATAGAACCAACTTTAATTTAAATATGATATACATATATATTATTTACGTTATGTGAAACATTAAAAACTTATAAATTTATCTTAAATTTTAACTTTAAATATATTTTTAAATATTAAAATAATTTTGTAATTCTAGTAGAAGTCCATATAGTGTCAACATTAAAACAAATAGATAATTTCTATTATTTTTGACATTAGAAAATGAGTAAAGTTCAAGAACCAAAGTACAATGTCTACTTCGAAAACCATCTCCTCCTTCCGACTCACTTCTCTCCTCCGCTCTCAGAAAGACCCCTCACTGGTCCTTCAACTCTTCCTCAACCCAAACCCTAACCACCCCTCCGTCCACCCCTTCCGCCATTCCCTCCGCTCCTATGACCTCATTATCACTAAACTTGCCCAAGCCAAAATGTTCCCCCAAATGGAACAGCTCCTCGACCAACTCCACACCCAAACGCGCTTCCCTACCCCCGAACCCCTCCTCCGCCACGTCATCGCTGCCTACGCGCGCGCCGGCCTCCCATCGCGTGCCCTCCGCACCTTCCTCTCCATCCCCGCCCCCTCACTCCGCTCCTTCAACTCCCTCCTCCACGCGCTGCTCGCCTGCCGTGACTTCGCCTCATTCACGCGCCTCCTGCCGCACCTCCCCCGCTTTCGTGGTCCCGACGCATGCTCCTACAACATCCTCATCCATGCGTGTTCTCTAACCGACGACCGCGGTCGGGCGTGGAAGCTGTTCAACGAAATGCGTAGGCGAGGCATTCGTCCGAATCAAATTACGTTCGGAACTCTGATTAACTTGCTGTGCAAAAGCCCTCAATTGCACCTTCCCCAGGCGTTTAAGGTGAAGGAAGAGATGGATAGGGTTTTTAAAATTAAGCCTAATGCTTTTGATTACACTAGTTTGATTAAAGCTGTTTGCGAGGTGGGTGATTTTGATTCCGCGGTTAGGTTGAAAGATGAGATGGTGAGGAACAATTTGAAGCTTGATGTTGTGGTGTACAACACTTTGGTTTCAGGGTTTTTAAAAGGAGGGAAGAAGGATACAGGATTTAGGGTTTTGGAGGAAATGAAGATTGGTGGTGTGAAGCCGAATTCCGTGACGTGTAATGTGTTAATTGGGGAGTTTTGTAGGGAGGGGAAGTTTGAAGAGGCTTATAGGATTTTGAATGATGGGTTAGAGGGTGTGAAGCCTGATGTTTTTGGCTACAATGTGGTTATTGGTTCTCTGTGTGAAGAGGGGAAATGGAGGGAGGCTGATGATTTATTTGGGGACATGCCAAGGCGACAGTGTGTTCCTGATGTTGTGACTTACCGCACCTTGTTTGATGGGCTTTGCCAGTGTATGCAGTTTGAGGAAGCTGGGTTGGTTTTAGAGGAGATGATTTTTAAAGGCTATGTTCCTCGTTCCTCCAGTTTGAATGAGTTTGTTGGTATGGTGTGCAAGGAAGGGAATTTTGAGTTACTGGGGAAGGTTTTGAGTGGTTTGGTAGGTGGGGGATTTTATTGTGAGGATGTGTGGAACACTTTGGTCTTATTGGTTTGTCAATCGAAAAAGATGTTGGGAGCTTTTGAACATTTTGATGAATTGGTGTTGGCATGAATTCTATGGCTTACGTTGTTGTGGAAAACTTTTGCTTAATGCAGTTCGTGGGTAGAAGTTGAAAGACCACCGATTTGGCTCATGAGGCAAACAGGGAGGTACATGAAGGCAGGTTCATGCAGCTATTTTTGATTTATGGCTTACGTAAAACTTAATCGAAGGTTTAGGGCATCCTAGTTTGGTATTTGGTGTAATAAATTTCTGTATTTTGTGAAATTGCATGTGCAGTGGTGTTATGTTGACTTAGAGAAAATTTGTACAAATTAACTTTTGTTTAAACTAATTTAAGGTTACCAGTAGCTGATTCATTTTTTCTTCTTATTTTTTTCTTGTAATAAGTCCTTATGGATAAGTTTATCCAAACAAGCAGGTATAAAAGGGTGTGTTTTTGTTAACTCTTTCATTTTTTAGTTACACGCCTCCTCTGAAACTAAACATAGCTAGCGGATTTTTTACATTTTCCAAAGTTTATCTGTATTTCAGAAATTTTCTGGACTTTTTTATGATGACCTTAGCCCAAGATTTTTTTAGAATTGTTTATGATCCATGGTTATCTGCTTCAATTGTAAATTTAAGTCCAACAACTATCGTGATTTAAATGCCACTAAATCTAAAACCAGTTGGGTTCTTGTTCTTCATGAATTTAGTTTGGTGAGTATGTATTCTTTACAAAAAATGAATCTAATTTGCCAATTTTCATCAAGCAGAGTTACCAAACCATCTGTGAGAAATATCCTTCATTCCATGAAAGATCTGAAAATGTCGATCTTGTGGTGGAAATTTCCCTGCAACCATGGCATGTTTTCAAGCCTGATGAAGTAAGATAACACTCTGGCACTCATCAATATATCTGTTATCACATTTTTTATGTATTGATTGTGATTTTGTTGCCATTAATAATTTGCCGAGCGCTGATTCTGTGACAGGTGATTTTATTCTCAGACATTCTTACCCCACTTTCTAGAATGAATATACCCTTTGATATTGTGAAGGGTAAGGGTCCTGTTATATTTGATCCTATTCACACAGATGCCCAGGTTAATCAAGTGAGAGTTTGTTCCTGAAGAATCAGTTCCATACGTTGGTGAAGCACTGACAATATTGAGGAAAGAGGTCCGACTGGTGCTATGCTCCGTTGCATTTCTGCTTTTGTTCGTTTTACACCCCCACTTCCTTTTTATACCTGAAGTATGCATGTTTTGTCCAATACTATAAGACAGGAAATTCTGTATATTTTGTGATTAAAAGGGATTTCTCTGTATTTTAAGGATGTTAATTGGTTGGGGGCTGTAATAACATGGAATGATGGAGAAAGGTGATTAGGCATACGTCATGTGGTACTAGGGTGAACATATAATATTGAAACTCAGAATTATATATTTTATTGAACTTTTTACCATGCTGGTGGTATTAATATACTGGGTTAATCTTCATTTCCCGTTTGCATTATAAAGTTGTTTTTATGTATTAGTAAATAATGGAGCTTCATGGAGACCCAAATATCTTGTTTCTTTATCATTATTGTGTGTCCTATTGGTGTATTATGCTCCAACGGTTTCCTATATCATTGAATGCAGAACTGTTGATTGCAGGTGAATGATACAGCTGCAGTTCTTGGTTTTGTTGGGGCACCGTTCACTCTGGCATCGTATGTGGTTGAAGGTGGTTCATCTAAAAACTTCTCAGAAATAAAAAGATTGGCTTTCTCTGAGTCTTAGGTAATCTTCAGCCATCTTCCCTTATCATTCAAGCTCACTAAAGTTGTTGCCCATGGAAACTCACTCACATTCTTATGTTTTAAATCCGTTTTTTCAGCATTTTGTATCCTGAAATATACTGATGAATCCAGATAATTAACAAATCCTTAAGTTGGTCATTAGTTAGAAAACTAGTTCTGGTTGAAATGGAAAAAATTAGTACGGTTCATGTTACCATTTTTGCATCCAACCGCAAAAATGCTATAGCAATATAGTGTATATCAGGATAGTATTTTTTTGTTATGGTTTATTTAATAAATACTACACACACACACACAAAGATAGATATATAGAGAGAGGGAAAGAGAGAGGATATAGATAGATTCTAAGAAATGATAAAATTTTCTCAATTTAAACATTGATATTTAATAATAAAAGGTAAGAGGTGTCTTAAACAAAACATGCAGGTAAATCCCAACAAAAGACAACTACAAGTTTCCTAGATAGGAATTAATAATCATATTGTGTCCAAGTCTTCATTATCATTGTCACTATTATTACATCTATACATTTTGGCTTTCAAAATTGAAACCCCAGAAGTAGCTCTCTAAAAGGACCCTAATGTCTCTGTTCATAGGGACTTTTTTGGAGGCAACACATAGTACCTTCTCTGCGTCACTTTAGCATGCTCAACCTTATCCGTTGTTTTCTTTGTACAACACCTATATTCACTTTTCATTGAATGTTTAATATATCTTGTAGTTGAAATATGACTGTCTTTTGAATTTTGTTTTACTTATTTTGCTGTTACATGTATGTTTTGCTTTAGAGACCCCATGACTTTTTAATTTAATTGTGAATATGTCATGAATTCTGAGTATTTATATACATATAAATATTCACTTGGTCCTTTTACCTACAGAATCTTTATGCTTTAGTCCTTATACTTAAAATGACTCATTTGGTCTTTTTGAATTAGTTTTTAATTGGTTTTAGTCCCTGTAGTTTAGAATTACATGGACTAAAATAGATTAAAAAGTACATGTGTTGGACTAGAAAGTGCATGTGTAAGGACTAAAATGAGTAGTTTCTAGGTGAATGGCTAAAATGTAATTATTGTGCTGGTAATGAGTAATTAAACCTAAAAAACTCATAATAATAGTCATCCTGCTATGGACTATCCCACCATAGCGTTTTCTGGATTGACTTCTGCATGCTATTGTCTGATATTGATAACTGTGATTATCATATGCAGGGGATATTCCGGAAGAAGGTGATACACAGGTGCTGATTATGTGTTGCATAAGGTTAGTTTGCCTTTTTCTTTTGGTTTGTTGATTTACACAGGCTTTCAATTATGAAGGTATGCTTTCTTTAAAAATAGCATTATCATTAAAAGTCTAAAACTTTGTTTTATCCTCTCTTCATTTGCAGTTTTTTCTATCAGATAATGCAGAAAATGAGCTGAATAGGCTAAAGTTGAGGTTTTCTCAGATATATTATGATAATCTTCTCAGAGTAAGTTGCCTTCATTTACTGTAATGGCTTTTACCGAGGGTTCTGCGGGCTAAAACATGACATTTCTTTCTTGTAACTTTGTCCAGCTTGCAAAACCAATAGCTGGCCTCGAAGACTGGTTGGAAGCGGTTTATACAGCTCGTATCCCCTGTGCTGTGGTTTCAAGCCTCGATAGAAAAAATATGTTAGAGGTTTTGGAGCGAATGAGGCTCAGCAAGTATTTCGAGGTTGGTTAAGAAGACTTTACAATAAATCAAATTTTGCCTTGTTTCTCCAATTGAAAAAAGGCAGCGGTATGTATAACTAATTTTGCTTGAAATAGGGTTATACGGGAAGACTGCCAGGTCTTGTTTCTCTCAGGATACCATGGACAATTATAAATACTATGTAGCTTGTTTAGTTGGGGTGTTGGTTTCGACTGCAGTTTGACTCATGGTCAATAGATTTAGAAAAAAAAACTGTTCACATTCTTTGGTTAAGAAAACAAGCAGTTTGTTTTTGCTGCAATTCATGCTCTAGATCCATTACAGGGAGGACAAATGCTATTAAGACACTATTATTGGGTAAAATTCATGTTGGTTGCAATCCGTATTGTTCCTTCGCTTCTACGTAGTGGAACTTACGGGACTGTTACCCCATGCAAAAGCGTCGTAGATGTTAATAAACTTTTTTTGGTATAGTTGGTAATATAAGTTTCTGTATACTTTTTGGTTTTTTCTTTTTCATGATTACCCTGACTCTGAATATGTAAGAAAAAAATTGTGAGTATAAGGATAATTTTTATTTAGCTTCTGCGCTCACCTTTAGTTTGTCACGTGTATAACTTTGTTTTAATTCTAAGAAATATGATAAATGAAATATGCACAATTATAGTTAAGTAGGAGCTGATTTCTTTGTTATTTGTTTAGATCCAAGTACCCAGTGATGATTCGCTCAATTGAGAAGTCCATGGATTTGTTTGTTATGTGAAACAATAAGATCTTTTGAGATGTTCATTTTTTGAAAAGTTTTTCAATACAAAGATGTTGACTGAGTTACTTGATTAACTAGAACTTTACCTATTTCATAGTTGGCCAATTCAATCGATATAACCATTGGATAATCATGATTTGGGTTAGACTCTTTGAAATCTTTGTTTGTGAAGGTGATCAGGGACGTTCTTCTGACCTATTTTTAATGAGATGCACTGTTTTGAGTGCTTCCATGTTTCTTTATTGGACAAAAACGCTAATGTGACTCAATCGGTGAATCCTTCTAAGATGGTGTTAATCACGCCTTTCAGAAGACAATCCTTACTTCGACAATGAGACGACTCTCTTTGTTGTTTGTTACTAGGATAATGAATACATAATTAATACATCATCTACTACCTTTCTTGGACCTTTATTTGTAGTTCATAATGGGCTTTTGGAGCCGGCCTAATTATGACCCGAATTCATTTAAACTTGATTATAGACTTAATTAGGATGTTTTTCTTGCCTTAAGCCGTTTAGTCTTAATTATCCTACCCACTCCTTAATTAGACAATCCATTTTGATTAAAATGGTTTGAGTTTGACTGATCAATTGCCTGACTGTGCGGTCCATTCCTTGATAGGACTGTTCATACTATACATTTTATATTGTTAAAAAAGAAAAAGGTGAATATAGTCTAATTTAAAAGAAAATGTAAAAGAAATATATAAAATATCTCAATGTAAAACATCTCTGATCTATAAAAAAGAAATTATAAAAATCAATAATTTTAAATGGATACAAACATCTTCATCGTTCTCTAAAAACCGTCGTTACATGACTGTGAACAATAATAGGATGATACACTTGTATATATTTTTTCCATGACTTGTCATCAAAACAATAAGTTTAGGCTGTCACATATGATGTTTCACATAGTTCTAACTCTATCTCAACCTTTTTTTCATCATCAGCCTAATATCCAACCTATATTACTTTATTACAAACTTATATTCACTTTAAACCTAATTTAATATCACAAAATTAGTTTTTAATGTAAAGTTTGTTAGATATATTATTTTTATTTTATATTTATCTTTTATCTTTTAATTAGTTTATTATTAATTTTTATTTATATTTTGGGCTTAACCTATATTTTTTCTATTATAAATAGAGAATCCTACGTGTGTATTTAACACAAGAGAGATTAATATCAAATATAATTTTTTACTATATTCAACAAAGTTTACATTTATATATATATATATATATATATATATATATATATATATATATATATATATATATATATATATATATATAACATGAAACTAGACTTTAATTAATAATTTGATAGTAGATGAAATAAAAAACTTAATAAATATTAAATTTCACTAATATATAGATTTTATGATTTTGATATTATGTTGAAAAGTTAATTTAAAATCTAACTTTTAAAAATAGTTTGTAAAATAGGAATTGTAATTACTTATATATTATAAATTTATTTTATATACGATGGATAGAAATTCCAACTTGTTGAGGAAAAAATATCACTCTCTTTTTATGCAAAGATTAAGCGTTTGATAAACTTTTTTATATGTATGAACTATTTTTTCCTTTAAAATATGTGGCTTCTT